CAGAGGGCGTGGGTCACTTATGTACTATCACAATCAAAACGTTGGATTGATACATCTGCACCAATCAGTTTCCGGTTTGTCTAGCGATCGTATTCTCCTTCCACCAATTCGAATCGTGAAGCATTCTGCGGATATACACACATACATACATACATACATACATATATCTACTTTATATAAATTGCTACGTCTGTCTGTCTGTCCGGAAATTGATACCACTATCGTCCTGACTGATAATGCGATGCAATTCATTTTCATTTAAGCGTTGACTAGTAGGCGTTTCGATGCAGGTAACAGGATTTCTTCATCCACTGAGCGATTCATATTGGACTGTACTTTCTATCAATATCTACAGATCTATGTATAGTGTGGGCGTTATGGCCAAAGCACCACCCCTCCTGCAAATATGCGTGTACTCAGAAGTGCAGGATCCGCAGGGTTGCTCTGTCTGTTACGATTCGTTCATTACAGGGCAATATGAGCAGCTCAGTGAGTGAACAACTTCCGTCATGGAGGCGTGCAAGAAACTATGGAGAGCCAGGAAACGAACTTTTCCAAAGGGAAGGGACTCCGGGGAGGGTGAGCCATCATCGCACGTGAAAAGCTGAAAGTGTCGCGAAGTCACTTGCATACGGGGACCGGGAAGAGTGCCCAGAGGTAAACAGAAGATCGCAACGCGTTCAAAGCAAGCTGAGTTTGGAATTGCCGCTAGACGTACCCCGCCACGTTCTTTCGCGACGTAGAACACCTTCGACGTACTCCCATTTACCATCTCCTTATGACAGATGAGTCCTGGGTTGTATGCTTCACTGTTTATGATTGCCATGCATCGTATTCCGAAAGCTTTCGTTCTTGTAACAAACTCGATAACGCTTCGCCGGTCTTGTACTTTGAGCCCTCTTTTGGGCCCCTCCTTTTGTGCTGATTTGCTCGTATGAGCACTGGATCCCGAGCCCATGCTGCTATTTCAGATTCAATTCTCATTTTGCGAACAAGGCGAATTGGCGTTTCAAAGAATGAACCTGTTGCCACAGAGCGTCGAATTGCGCTCCAGGATGCCGATGTCACCCGTCAAGTTTCCAGTAGTGACGCCCCTGACGACAATTCTATCTTTTTCCTATCGCATTCATGCTTCGAAACGCTGCCGTACACTGAAAACCCTGCGAAGTATGAACGCTAATGAAAGATGCAACTTCAAATATGTGCTTACATAGCACAGAAAGCTTTGGATGTTAGCATCACCAACTGTGCTCTGCTATTACCTGCCTACATTCAGGTACCAGGGTCAGCCTTCGTCATGCTGTTATGGGCCTGTTCTACGCTTCCAGGGTGAGCCATTGTCAAAGAACTACCTCGACGGCGGAATCGTATTATTGAGGCGCTTATTCGCAACGATTGGTATTCCGTGGGCAAGATGTCAGCTCAGGCACAAGTACGGCATTTTTGACTTATTTGTGAGGAAAGGAAACTGGAAATAATTTCGATAAGACCGCCAGTGTCATCGATAACGATCACTGGTCGAGCATGAGATAGTGACGATCAACTACAGGATCCTAGTCGACACCCACCAGCGTCGAACCCTTTTAGCGGAACAAGTAGTGTACCACAGAACGCCACCAAGACTCTGGTACAGTCATTGACCCCGCAGGTTTACGTATATGTGACATTTTTGTCTTCTTGAATTACAGATGCACAAATAAATGTAAAAAGATTCTTATCAATAAGTTTTTCGTATGAAAATTACAAGAAAATTGAATGGAATACATTGCAGACGGTTATTTCAACGCTCGTCGCTTCGCTTCTAAAATCTTGGCGCTTCTTCAGTTCTCTGCGTATCGTGCATGAAAGGCGTCAACCCTTCGTAACCAGGCGGAGCATTCGACGGTTGTGTACGACCGTATGGAGGCGGAGGCGCCCCAGGTGGACCAGGAGCAGCTGGCATCGGTTGTGCCCCATATGGGACAGGCGCACCAGGTGTACCGGGTCCTTCTACTGATCCCATGGCGTCGAGTATATTCGGTATGTCGTCCATTGTGGGCGCTGTTGCACCCTTCTTCTCGTCCTCTCTGGTCAACCGTAAAAGTCGTTTCAGTCGTCGTGTGGCGCGGTCGATTCGTCGATGATGACCAGGACGACGGGCTTCTTCTTCCATAGTTTCTCCTTGTGTGGCTCGCTCCTGTATGTCTCCAACTCTGATCTGGGGAAGAGAAGCAGCACGTTCTGGCGGACGATCCTGTGGTGTAGATTTCGAATGCCTCGACTCTCTCGCGTGAGAAGATGAACCTCCAGAACTGCTTTCCTGAAAGTTGAAAAGTTGAAGAGCTACTTACTAGGCAGGGCACACCACACGTTGCGTAAACACAACGGTGGTCGTGCTCTGCCGCCAGGAAGACGGAGCCTCGTATTTTGCTGTGACGTATTTTTTCTAGATGATGTTTTTCTTCCCCGTTTGACGGATTACCCCTCCTCGTAAGACTACAAGTTTGAGAAACAGTTGGCATGCAGTACCCCGAAAACTGCGCGTGAAATTGGATGTGTCAGCTCCGTGAGTGCACAGAATAGGCACGGAGACCACGAAGCGAGAGAGACGCCAATCTCGCTGTCCATCTGATCCACCTGGTCCGGGGCTGCCTAGGCGAAGACTGGGTGGTCTTGTGGAGACTCGCTACTCACACATCCACAGGTTGGGTGCTGTATTCCGCCTGTTCTCTCAAATTTACAGTTTAGTCCTCCCCCCTACCTTCACCCCTTTTCTCTTCCCGAGTTCACGGCTCCGCCGCAAAGTTAGTATTTCTGATAGTTGATCGCAGGTGTCTACCGCCTCTCCCCCCCCCCCCGATTTTCGGACCAAATCTGGTATGAGCGTAGGTAGGTTGTGGAAAGGGTTCGTACCTAGGGAGAAAAGCCGGGCGGGGGGGGGTCGTATAAAGGGGTCTTTTACACACTGTGATGGCGTGCTCTGCTTCCACATCATGTCAAAAGGACGGATTGGAGGAATTAAAGCTTGACGCAGTTCGACTTAGTGGGGACATCGAATGGTACTTGCTGAGCTTGTTCAGACCAAGTTGTAAAGACCTGTCAACTCATGTAACCATAGCGGCTTATTTGTACCATCCCGCAGTTCACAAGAGTTTACACATATTCCAAAAGGAGACCTGTTTCAACCGATACTGACGAAACTAACTAGCGTAAGTGTTAAATGCCCCCTCCAGGTCGGACAGCACCTAATGTCCTAAAAACAGTCTGCCTTCTTCGAACTTACATGTCTTCCTGTCGACCTCTCGCTGTGGTGCTGAAACGAAGTATCCAGTAAGTGACTACGGTATGAGCACCTATTTGGCTGTCTTACTTTTCTCTTTCGTCTCCTTTCGTCATCCCCAAGGGTTTCGGGCGGCATCTCTTCTGCTTTGCCGCAACAACAGCAGTAAATAAAGACAAGTATTACCAATATACCAACCACAGCAGCAGCAACAGGCACCATTTGCTCCAAATTCGTTTTACTGTCGAGCCTACCACCAATACTTTGCCTGCAAAAAAGGACAGGTTCATTGGGCTAGCAGTCGATATTATGCG